GAACCGAGGGAGTCATCAGTGGCCTTCTCTGTGCCCGCACCTTTCTGCTGCCCCAACTCCAAACCTCTCCAGTTTTACTGCTTTTTCACTTCTATTTCAAAAGCTCAGGAATGCCTGCTTCTCTCTCAATATGGCTGAATGGTGTAACGTCTCTACCTAAGCTGGGAGGAGGTTCACGAGAAATTCGGGCAATCCCACCCTCCCTGGGTGGACACTAACCCGTGACTCCCCTGAGCAGCGGGAAGCACGTCTGGCCTGACTGTGGAAGACGGTGGCCAGGACTGGCCCCCTGCTGGGAGGGACTGAGCCGGCAGCCCGGGGCGCTGGGGACAGGACACCTCCGGGACAGGCCCTGGCCCACACGGCTCAGTGACAGGGCAGGGGAGGACGGACGAACTTCTGGGGCCTTCTACCGGCTTTGGTACAAGCGGCTTCCGGCTCTCCCCAGGGGTGGTGGGCAGGCCCCCCTGCAGACTAACGCTGCAGGCTGAATCATTTTCTTGGCCGTTTTCCAGACTTCCACGTCTTTGTAGGTACTGCTCCTGCACTGAAGTTGCACGATGTGCGTGCTCATGGCACAGAACAGCAAACAAGGTGAGGGAGGCAGGCACCACACAACCCCCTGAACAACCCCCCTGCCTGTACTCCATTTCAAACACACCTTTTAAAGGGGGGCACCTTGGAAGACAGGTGATGAGCAACTCAACTGAAGGACACAGCTGCTCTGACGTAGGATCATAGGACTCACCACCATCTGTCTTAAACTTGAACGTGAAAGTGCACATACACACACATTTACTAAACCAGAAATGATAGGTAAGACACTTAAGCACGTCATAAAGCCTGTATTTGAAAAAGATACATTTCATTGAAACCCATTTTCCATTTTAATGATAGCTTATCCCACATGGTTATTTCAGTCTCCTTAAAATGTTCAGCTTCTTTATCAACTTACTCTACCCCGTAATTAAAGCCACATCTTAAAAACTACATAAACTGAGGAGCCTCTTGAACTATGTCCCAAATCCAACTGCCAAACGTAAGGTCACTGAGATCACTCGGATGGTGTCAGGGAGCGAAAGCCCAACCCGCGAACGGGCTGTGCACGGGCTGCACCGCGGGGCACAGCTCCGGTTTCACTCGCATCCAAAACTTGAAGACATCAAGCAGCCGACGTCCGCACGTTAAGCTCCCACCCACTGTCTCTAAGGTTCCAGCCCAGGAAGACTTTTTGGCCCCCGAAGCGGGGCCGGCTCCTCTGCATCCCTGGGCACTGCCCCGGGACAGGCCATGTGGAGAGCCTGGGTTTGGGGGAGTCACTGGCCGGAAGGGGCGGAAAGGCGTGGCCCCTTCCTCCCCCGCCGCGCCGGCCGGCAGAGGACCCCCGAACGGCATTGTCCCGAGGCGCGCGTCCTACCCTCCGCGAGACCCGCTCCGCTGCCCACCCGGCCCGGCCTGCCCGCCACGCTCACCCCCGGCGTGTGAGCCCGCACCTCCCTCCGCGGCCGCCCCGCGCCCGCGCCCGAGCCGGCAGACCGAAGGCCGCCCCACGGGAGCCTCCCTGAGCCCCCGCGCCCGGCCCCGCCGCCCCCAGCCCGGCCCTCGGGAGGACGCACCTTCTTGCCCTTCTTGCCCTCCTCCTCCATGTCGCCGCGAGCGGTCCCCGCGGCCCGGCCCGCCCCGGGAGCCCCGCGCCCCCCGCGACCGCTACATGCTCGCCCGGGCCCCGCGGCCACCGCGGCCGCGTTCCTGCGCCGCCCGCCCTGCCGCCGTCTCCGCCCGCGGCCGCCAGGGGCCGTCCGCACCCCGCACTTCCGGGCCGAGGGCGCGGCCCCGCCCCCTGCACGCCCCGCCCCCAATCTTTCAGAGCAGCGGGATCGCGCCCGGCCCGCCCCGCCTCTCCAGGGCTGCGGGAGCGCGCCTGTCCCGCCCCTTTCCGCCCCCAGCCCTCCCATTGCCCCTCGGGGCCGCGGGAGCGGCTCCAGCTTTTCGATTCCTCCGCCATCTTTACGAAGGCCAACTTCCCGGCCTGCCTCGCGCTCAAGGATGCCGAGCTCAGGCCCGCGAACGCGCGCCCGGGCCCGTGGGGCGGGGCCTGCAGGAAGGGCGGGGCGCGTGGGAGGGGCTAACAGGAAGGTCGGAGCCGGGCTGGCGAGGGGCGGGGCCCGCTGAAAGGGCGGTGCTAACAGAAAAGTTGAGAGCCCGCTTTTCTTAGATCCCGTATTTATTAAATCTGCCACCTGCCAACCTGGGGTGGCGCCTTTTTCTTCAGTGTCTACCTGCCCTCCATATAGAAGGCCAGTTTTTGTTTTTTTTTTTGTAGAGAGCAAAGTTTTAATTTCCCAAGAAAGGAGAGGGGCACGGTGTGGAGAGATACACAAGCCTTGAGGGGTGGGGGCTTTGCGCTTTTTTTGAATTATAATTGGATTAAAAGGGTGTGGGGGTGGCTGTTGTGTGGCCCCTGCGCTCTTTGGGTGTTGCAACCGAAGCTGCAGTTTGCAGATGTTATCGTCTGCCAGTGGCTGTAGGGATAGTTAGTTCTGTTCTCCCAGTAATTTCCGGACCTGAAAAGACTGCCATGAACCACGTGACCACGCCAGGTACCAGGCCATTTCTCCAAGGGGCTCTTACTGGTTTCAAAAGTCAATCTTAATTCCTTAAGGCTTTCCGGTGACATCCAGAGTCCAGGCATGAAGGCGGCCAGTTTCAAGTTACACCCAGAAAGCTCCCAAGGCTGCAAAGCCCCATGTCCAGACCCTATCAGAATAAAGCCATAGAACAGTCCGCTAGAATCGGGTGGTTTGCCCGAAAGCACTCTGCAAGCTGCAGTCCGGAGCGGCAGGCCCGCTCTCTTGCTCACTATACCAAGCTGCCAGTTAGGACCCCGCAGCACATAGTGCACACCGGTCCCAAACCAGTGTGTCTCCCTGGTTCTTTTCAGTAGGGATCCTCTGCCAGCTGCCCGTGTGTTGCCTTTCAGCCCCGCACTCTCTCCCATTTCCGGCTCTGCGGGATGGAGCCGGGCCCTTGAGCACTACCCTGCCCGCAGAAGTGCTGTGGGGTCGTGCGATTTGGAGCCAGGTGGCAAGCTGGGCTCTGCTGGCCCTCCCGGGACTGGGGGAGATGGTCAGAGTGAAGGCACCCGGGTCCTTGGGAAATATCCCCGGGTTGCAAGACCTGCTGCGAACTTCATTAGCCTTTAGAGATTCGCGCTCACTAGGAAAGGGCAGAGACCGGAATTCTGAAAGCAAAGGGGTCCTCCTGCTACTGGGAAGAGAGCAGACCCACATCCCCTCTCCTTCGCGGGGCCGCCCCTGGCTCCGCTGCTCACAAGGCCCGCTCCCTCGCCGTCCCGGGGCCCCGCCCCGCCCGGAATGGGAGGCTCGCGGCGCGCCTGGCAGCCTCGAGCACGAGCCTTGAGCTTCGTCCTCACCGGGGCTACCGAGGCGCGCAGCAGTCCCGCTCCAGGCCTCGCCCGGAGCCACGATGACGTCACCTTCCCGGGCGGCGCCCGGCAGTGGGGCGCGGGCCGTGTGACGTCGCAGGCCGTTCCGGGCGGGCTGCGTAATGACGCATGCGTGCGGCGCGTGTGGCGTGTAACCATGGCGGACGGCGGTGGTGAGCTGTTGTTTCAGCGGGACGCTCTCGGATGTCGTCTTCATCCGAGGCCATCGAGGGTGCCAGGCGGGATCCGCCGTCTGCTGAAGCCGGGTAAGAGTCCTGGCCTGCGCGGCGGGGCGCGGGCCTGCGGGAGGGGTCTCTAGCCGGGCCCTGAGGCCACGTGCGGCCTGGGAGGGTGGGGGACGCGCTGTGCAAGGGGTCTCGCAGGCGGGTTCCCGAAGGGCTAGGACCAGTCGCTGCGAGGCCGGCCGGAGCTGAGCGCGCCTTCCCCGCAGCCGTCCTGCTACGTGCCCTCGGAGTGCCGCCTCCCGGAACCTCCAGCGCCGGGCCCGCTGTGCCCGCGCCGAAGTTCACAGGACAGTGATCCCCGAACCTACTTCTGTGTCCAGCCTGTAGTCCCGCAGTGTGTGTGACCTATAGAAGAATATGGGAGAAAAGCTGTTTTGTACAGTGACGCGATGACACGGATAACCCAGGGGTCTGGTAAGTTTAGGAAGCTCTGCGCTGGAACGGCAGAGAGGGACTGTGTGCCTGGGAGAAACCCACGCGCGGTCAGCACCACCCTGCCCGGGGCTGTGGGCTGTGCGGGCGGCAAGCCTCCAGCGTGCTTGGGTCTGGAGTGACCCTGTGCATTCCTACAGTGCTTGCGAGAACATCCTGAAACGGTTTGAGGCCTTGCCCTGCCGCATCCAGAGCAAGGTTATAGAAATTTCAGACAGTTGCTTGCTCCCTTCAAAATCTGGTGTGCTAGGCACCGTGTGGACTCCACGGTCCCAGGGCAACCGCTTGCCACACGCGGTTAAACTTTTACATTCGGATTGTCGTTCGCAGTACCCACGTGGCACGTGCTCAATCACGACACGGGGCAAATGGCACCAGATTGGAGTGCAGAACACAGAATGGTCACCTTTGTGCAGAAGTTGTTTGGGGCTTTCTGGATGTTTGCTATGTGCCAGACTCATTACAAACTTTATTTTATCATATCCTGAGAACAGCCTTTCAAAAGTGGAAAAAGAAACTCGGGGTGGGGGGGACGTGGAGGCAGGGGATAAAGAAAACCGAGCAGGCGCGGCGGGGGGGCCCTCCCGGAGGGACGGAGGATCCGGGGGTAACGCCCCCCCGGAGCAGCGGGGGGGCAGTGATGTGGGCTGAGCTTCGCTGTGCAAAACTTAGTCATTCTGCACCCAGTTTATGCACTAATATAGTGATTTATTGCTTCTTTAGCCATGTCCTAAGGGAGGGGAAAGAAACTGACGAAAATAGTGGTTCATCCAAGATTGTCTTCCTCAGCTGCCTGTCCCTCGGCTTTTCTGAGCTCAGGCTCGATGCTCCGAGCTCGGCCTCATTCCCAGCCGGCCCCTGGGCCGTGCGAGAGGCTCTCACTGGGTGTGAACGTCTGGGGGCCCCAGAGAGGCCCCTTCCGCTGTCTCCTTGCTCGGCTGCTCGCCTGCAAGGGTGAGGCCTGGGGGCTCCAGCTGCCTCGACACCTGCACTTGGAGCGTCTCCTCCTTGGATTTTGGCTCCGGCCGCACCTCAGGCTGTGCCCCGTCTTGGGGCTCCCCCTTGGGGGCTAGCCTCTTGTCGGAGCCAGGCTCGGGGGGCCGCACGGGCTCGGCGCTCCGGGAGCTCCCCTCCTCCTTGGTGGCGGTTGCAGAGGACAGGCCCCGGGCGCGGGGCTGCACCCAGCAGTGGCTGAGGATCTCATCGATGTGCAGCCGCCGGGTGACATCCGGCTGCAGCATGCGGTAGATGAGGTCCTTGCACTCGTCTGTCAGGTGCTTCGAGCGCGGGAAGTTGACGCGGTGCTCCTTCTGGATGCGCAGCATCTTCTTGATGTTGGAGTCGTCGTAGGGCATGGAGCCGCAGACCATGATGTAGAGGATCACGCCCAGGCTCCAGATGTCGTAGACCTTGGGCTGGTAGGGGATGCCCTGCAGCACCTCGGGGGCCGCGTACGCCGCCGACCCGCAGAAGGTCTTGCTCAGGATCAGTCGGCCGCTGTCGTCCCGCGGGCAGCGCTTGGAGAAGCCGAAGTCAGACAGCTTGATGTTGAAGTCCTTGTCGAGGAGAAGGTTCTCGCACTTGAGGTCTCGGTGGACGATGTCCATGTCGTGGCAGTACTTGATGGCCGAGGAGAGCTGGTGGAACTTCTTGCGAGCCTCGTCTTCGTGCAGGGCCCCCCGGGTTTTGATGAACTCAAGGAGGTCGCCCTGGACCCCAAGCTCCATGACAATGTAGACCTTGCCCTCTGAGGTCTCAAAGATCTCGTAGGTCTTGACGATGGAGTGGTGGTTTAACATGATCAAGATCTCAATTTCCCGGGGAAGGAATTTTTCCAGGAAGTCGGGGGGGGCTTTCTTGCGGTCGATGATCTTGACCGCCACGTTGAACTTCAGGCGCTCGGAGTAGGCGGATTTCACTTTGGCATAGGAGCCCTCTCCCAGGTTTATCCCCATGATGTAGCCTCGCCGCTTGAGGACGGCAGCGTCATCCATGGTGCCAGGAGCTCCCGGTGCCCCTGAGGCCACCCTGCACACACCTGCGAGACATAGGCCAGCGGTACCCTCATTTACACTGTGGACAGCGTCCGCGGGGCTTGCTGGGCCTGCCGTCCTGCCTCCTAGAGGCCCAGACTTGGCATGGAACCAAGTTCAGTGTTGTCGCCCAGGTGACGTCAGTGGGTGAGGTCACAAAGGAGGAGTGGCCTGGGGGGCTGAGGCTCTGGCTTGAGCCATTTGGACCCAGAACCCTGGAAGGGCAGCCAGTGGGCCGGAGCCAATTAAAGGCCTTGAGAGAGTGACCTTGCACTTGGCTGGGACCAAGGGGGGGCGTGGCTGTGGGGGCACATGGGTCTGCCCGTGCCCCCAAGCCCAGAGCCAGGACCTCTGTCAAGTCGAGATCCAGGGCAGGCGGTTGCACCCGGCCAGAAGCAGCGTGCTCACGCCGTTGGGGCCGTCAGGGTTTAGCGAGGGCGTGGTTTACAAAGGTGGGGGCAGAGTGCGGGAAACCACTGTGGTCACGCTCCTGGAAGAGGCGGATGGCGCAGGAACCTGGGAATAGCATTGTAGGCAAGACAGCCTTGAGAGAGGCAGCAAGCTGCGGAGAGACGTTCCCGGTCGCTTTCCCCTTCTGGCCTGGAAGCGCTGGTCTGTAGCGGCCTGTGGGCCATGCGTCAGGGTGGAGGCAGACGGAGGGGCCGAGAGCCCGGGCCCCGGTCGCCATCTTTGGAAGGGCCCTACCCCCTCCCGCACAGCTCGGCAGGGCCCTTGGCCTGCCTGTGCTGCCTCCTCCTCAGACGGCCTGTTGCCCTGGCACGGGTCCTGCTTGCAGCCGCGTCCTGAGGAGCAGGAGCCTTGGGTTTAGCCTTGGCCGGGTCCACCCAGAGAGAGTGGGGGGCCTCTCAGGTGGTGCAGCCCCGCTGCTGGTCTGGCGCACACCACCCCCTTGGCGCTCATGGTTGGCACTGCAGGCGGGAGGCGGGTCACCGCTTGCTGCTCACGGGCTCTGTTCTGCATGCGACCAGGGGCCTGGCGCCTCCCCCCGGTGAAAGCCTTGGAGAAGCCGCAGGGCGGTCCATCTGGTACAGACGGCAGGGTCAGAGGTTGGTGTCCAGGTGCACGCAGCCGCGACAGGCGGGCTGGCCAGAGGGAAGGCCTGTGTCCTCCCCGTGGCGCCGGGGCCCTGAGTGCGGGCGGGCAGGGCTCCTGGGCTCTCTGGGCACAGGTCACAACACACCGTCCCCCTTGAAGGTCGAAGCTGCCAGGGGACTCCGGTCTCTCCTGTCCAAGTCCAGGCGCTGAACACACCAGCCTCCCCGGAGCAGCCATCAGGGAGACGCTTCTTTTCCGTGAGTCTCGTGTTGCTGTGGTTCTGGGAGCGAGGTGGCTGCCCTCTGGCCCGGACTGTTGGTTCAGGATTGTCCAAGGCAGCCCCGCCTCCCGAGCGGGGAGCCAGCGTGCCGCGTGCACGGTGAACCGCCTGGCTTCCCTGCACACAGGGCCCCTCCCGGGGGGCCTGGCGCTCCAGCTGCCACCGGCATGGACGGCCGGCCTCTGCCTCGTTGGCTGCGGGCCCGGGGCCAGACCCCGCCCGGTCGCTGGGGGGCACCTCCCCTCAGCAGGCTGCTCACCACGTGTCCCTGCCCCAGAAACGCCAGGACGTCGGAGCTGGAAGGGACCAAGAGGTGTCCCTTCGGTGGCCACCGGGGTGGGGCCGTGCAGGGAGGCCTGGGCCCTGGCTGGGACGTTCAGAACCACCCTCTGTTCTGACCTTTCCACGTTGTAAGTCAGGCAGTTGACAGCCTTTGTGGTTTGGGGCCCAACACACACCCTTCCCTGGGGGTCTTTGAGGTCAGCGGTGTGGACCGGAACGAGTGGCTGCCACAGAGGCTCCCAGCGGGGCCAGGAGCGGGAACCCGGGCTGGGTTGGTTCTGGCCACTGGCCGCCTGCCGGCCTCGGCGGTGTCTGATTCTCTTGTTTTTGCAGAGGAAGTGGACGTCCAGTGATGGAGGCCCGTCCGTGCTGACACACCTGGGGAGACTGCAGCGGAATTGGGGCGCGGGCTCTGCCTCTTACTTCTCTCAGGCAGGCTCCGGTCCTCGCCTGCCCCCTTCTGCAAGGAGCCAGGAGTTTCTGACTCTCAGCTAGAACGTGGGAGGCCCTGGGCCTGGCACATGACTGACATTCTCCAACCTCAGGTTGGACACTGTGTCTTCTGCCTGCTTCCAGAACCAGGGACATTTAATAAAGAGATTCTAAACGTGCAGTTCAGTGCAGCCTGTCTCTGCTTTCCACAGTATGCTCAGTGCGAAGAAGAGAAAGACCCCGCCCTGCTGGTGCCTTTGAAAGCTGTGGCGGGGGGCAAAGGCCTGTGCTTGAGAGGTGCCCAGGGAGATCCTGGGGTGGCTTCCGGGGGCTGGACGGGGCTCCGCGTCTCTGCCGGGACCCAGGTGTGAGCTGACGCCCTAGCGAGAGCGACGACCAGTGTCACCTGGTGAGAGCCCGGCTGCCGCACACTCACAGGCTGGACCTCAGCCCTGCGGGGTTAGAGCCACGGGCCAGGCTGGCGGGCGGCCGTTCAGCTTGTGACCGTGACGGGAAATGCAGCAGCCGACGGTGCCAGGCCCCCAGTGGTGTCAGCCACACCCCCAGGCCGAAAGCCCCACCTTGGAACCAGGAGTCCGGCCCTACTGACCCCTCTGAGCAGCCAGGGACAGGGAGGGAGGCCTGGGAGCCGCTCCTCTGCCTTCAGAGCCAGGCCTCCCGCGCGGGAGCTGTGGGAGGCAGCGATGGAGTCAAACTCTATGAGGGAGCCGAGAGGCAGGAAGGGCGTGTGCAGCGGTCCGGGGGGGCGGGACAGCGCCTCCCTCCTGTTGGCCCATCACCGGCTGCGAGGTCCCGCAGGCGTGGCCCCTGCTGAGGCTGCTGGTCAGCCACGCCTGTGCTGCGAGGAGGGAGACGGCTTGTGGGATGTCACCTTGGTGGGAGGGGACCCTGCCAGCTTGGGTGGGGGTGGAGCCTGGCTCGGCTCCAAGTGGCTACAGCAGCACTGAAGCTGGGACCCAAAAGCTGAGTCCCTGACGTAAGAGAGGCTGGGACGTTTTTACCTGGAAAGACACCCAAAGGAAACGGAGGCCCTGGCTGGGTGCCTCCCCCGCAGTGTCCTTCCGCGCACCCGGAACGGTCCTGGGCTCGATCCCCAGGCCAGGCATGTGCGGGAGGCAACCAAGCCGATGCTTCTCTCTGCCCCTTCTCTCTCCTAAGTAAAGACATCCTCAGACGAGGATTGCAAAAAAAGAAAACTATTTTGTGACACAGAATTTTGCTAGGATCCAGTTTCGGTGTCCCTGAGGTTTCACTGGACCGGCTGCCTCGTCCCATCTGAGAGTCGACGTCAGCTCGGGACGCTGACCCAGGGCTTTGGAGAAGTGAAACCGCTGCCGGCTGGCACAGAGCTCCCCCGGGGCTCCCCAGCTTCGGTTTGGAAAGCCCTTCAAAAGTACCAGCCCAAGACGTGGGCTGAGGGGTCTACAGAGCTTGAGAGGGGGAACCTTGGCCCCAGTTTGCCCAGCCCTGCTCAGATGGGAGGCTCTCGGCTGGGCACACGGGGACAGGCTGGTTTTACCCCGCACCTGATTAAGCACTTTCCAATTTTATTACATAGGAATTTGCCTGGGGCGCAGGGTGGGTGCCTCGCATATCAAAACAAACTATTTCAGAGCCTAAAAAGTGAGTTGAGTCCTGGCTGGTGTGGCTCCGTGGACTGAGCGCCAGCCTGTGGACCGAAAGGTCACCAGCTCGGTTCCCGGTCAGGGCACGTGCCTGGGCTGCCCGGACGGGTGGTCCCGGCTGGGAGAGGGTGAAAGGCAACCACACAGTGATGTGTCTCTCCCTCTCTTGCTCCCTCCTTCCCTGTCTCTCTAAAATAAATAACATCCTAATAATAAAGTGAGTTGATTGAAAGGCCAAGTGTTAAATAAACTGGCTTCTTAGGCAGAATCCCAAAGGTGGCACACGGTTGATTCAAATTTGGGAAATGCTTTGTCCTGTGGTCAAGGGATGTTGTCTGGGGACAAAGCGGAGCGGCTTCTGACTGCCACCTAGGCTGCGGGGCCCTGGGGACGGGGACTCCCCGCTGCTGCCGCCCTTATGCCCATGGGAAACGCCCCGGAGAAGGGGAATCCAGACCCCAACCCGCCCTCACGTCCTGGCCCGGTCTCCGCACTCCAAGGACAGTCACTGCCTAGGCCCCTGCCCCAAAGGCCAGGGCATCGGCCGTCTGCCCGTGCGGGACCGGCCCGCGCTCGAGCTGAGGGTGCACTGGGGACCAGGGCCCAGGGAACCCGCAGAGCAGCGCTCGGCAGCCCGCCCAGGAAGCAGGGGTCAGAACCCCTGGGGAGCTTCGCCACTTCCTACTTCGCCACCGCGGGCGGCGGCGCAGGGCGGGGGCTGTGCGGCGGCAGCTGAGGGCCGGGCCTGCTCCCTCTCCCTCCGCACAGGAAGGTCGCAGGTGGCCTGGCCCGGGTGCTCCCTGGCGGCAGGATGGAGGACGAGGAGGGTCCCGAGTGCGGCAAAGCCGACTTTGTGCTTCTGGACCAAGTGACTATGGAGGACTTCATGGAGAACCTGAAGCTCAGGTGGGCCAGGCCCTGGCTCCCCTCTCCCTGGTCCCCAGTGCGGGGGGGGGGGGGGGGCGCAGCACACACAGGTCACCACGGGGGCACATGGCCAGGCCAGCCGGACTGTCCCCACAGACCAGGACGGAAGGCGGTGCTGGAGCGGACTCCCCAGACCCGCTGCCCACACGGCCGGCGCCTTTGGCCCCACTGCCTGGCTCCCAGACTGGCACCCAGACCAGGAGGACAGAGGCTCCACTGCCCGCCAGGGGTCTTGCCGACCCCGGGGGAAGTGGGCAAGCCGAGCGAGCCCCGGGACACACGGGCCGCTGCAGGGCACAGCTGGCTGAGCGACAGGGCCCAGTTTCCCTCGGGGGAGCTCAGAGGGCGGGCTGGGGGCCGGGGCCGGGGCCGGGGCCGGGTGGTGGCAGCAACGCGGGTTGCAGCCTCGCCCTGGGCAGCCGGGGGAGCGGAAGGCGTCCCACTGAGCGCAGACGGGGGCGGGGAGCTGGGGCCAGGAGTGAGCTGTTTGGTGGGGACGCTGAGCTCAGCATGGTTGCTCTTCATTCATTCAAACGGGCTTACGAGCCGACCGCATCACCAGCTCCCTCCAGGCACGGGGACGCTGCGCCCCGGCCACACAGCGGGCATGGGGGACGGTGCCTCCCCGCAGGTGGGGAGGCTGCCGAGGGCATGTAGCCAGGGAACCCCTGCATCAGAGGCAGCTGAGGAAGAGGAATCCCCTTGGGTGCTGCAGGAAGGGCAGGTCCCAGACACCGCCGGCAGCTCCCCACCAGGGCTCCCCACGATTCCCGCGCCCCCACGGTGACCAGGGTCCTGAAGGAAGGGCTGAGAAGTGGGGACAAGCTGGGGGTGGTGGTGCTGCCGCAGCCCAGGCACCACTCCCAGGCCAGACGCCGGGTGGGGCTGGGCGGGTCCCCTTCTGCCCCCGGGGCCCCACCCAGGCCTGGAGACACCGGAAACCCCGAGGCCCCTCCCTCTGCCTCCCAGCCCCTTTCTCGGCCTGGCTGCGACCAGTCTCCTCGCCCTTGCCCGCTGGCTCTGGCTTGCCCAGTGTGGCCATGGACAAGCCAGCCCCTTCCTAAAATGGGGGCCAGTCACAGTGCCTGTGCCATCAGGACCCCCTGGAGGGCAGTGTGGGCCCCAACGTGCACTGCGGTGGGGGTGGGTCGGGAAGACGCAGGGCCCCGCCTGCGCCCCCGAGCTGTGCCCAGCATGGGCCAGAGCCCCAGGCTCCCGGCCGCGGCCTGCCACCCCCGGGCCCGGCGCTGGTCCCCGCCCGCTGAGGAGTGGCCTTGCCCGCGCCAGGTTCGAGAAGGGCCGCATCTACACCTACATCGGCGAGGTGCTGGTGTCCGTGAACCCCTACCAGCAGCTGCCCCTCTACGGGCCCGAGGCCATTGCCAGGTACCAGGGCCGCGAGCTGTACGAGCGGCCGCCCCACCTGTACGCCGTGGCCAATGCCGCCTACGGGGCGATGAAGCGCAGGTCCAGGGACACCTGCATTGTCATCTCAGGTACCGCCCAGGCCCCCGGCCTTCGCTTGGGAGTGACGGGCGGTGGGGGGGCCCCCGGGGGCGGGCACCACGAGCGGTCGCAGGGGGCTGCTTACTGGGCCTGTGCGTCTGTCTGGCAGGAGAGAGCGGTGCCGGGAAGACCGAAGCCAGCAAGCACATCATGCAGTACATCGCGGCTGTCACCAACCCCAGCCAGAGGGCTGAGGTGGAAAGGTGCGGCGGGCAGCCGGGCAGCAGGGGGGGCCGCGGAGCCGCGCAGGGCTGTCTGTCCGGGAGGCTCCAGGGCCCCTCGCCCAGGGCCTCGCCCCGAGGCGGGGGAGGCGAGGCCCCGCGCAGGGCGCCGGCCCCAGGAGGGGAGGGGTGCGGTGCGGAGGGCCCGCGGGCGGCCTGGGCCCCTCTCGGGACACCGGACAGAAGTGGTCAAGTCGCCCAGCCGGCCAGGAAGGCCAGGGTGCCGGCAAGGTGTCAGGGTTTCAGCCGGAAACCGGAAATCAGGGCTGTCCCGCTGCTTGCCCGCTTCGGCTTCCTGTGTGGGGGCCTGCTCTTCCTGTGGATGTGGGGGCACGGGGCTGGGGGCCAGATGTTGCTGAGCGCGGCGGCCCGTGCCCCGGCCCTCGCTGCGGGCCCAGCCGGTGAAACCAGCAGGTGGCCGGGCCTGGCCCCCGGGTGGCAGGGCCTCTCCCCGCGCGCACGGGTGAAGGCTCCGCCACGGCCCAGAAGGGGCCGCAAGGGGCGTGGCGCAGGCGAGGACGCGGGGCCCGGGCTTGGCGCCCAACGCGGCCTTCATGTCGCGACCCCCCCCCCCCCCCGCCCGTGCTGCTCGCAGGGTCAAGGATGTGCTGCTCAAGTCCACCTGCGTGCTCGAGGCCTTCGGGAACGCCCGCACCAACCGCAACCACAACTCCAGCCGCTTCGGCAAGTACATGGACATCAACTTCGACTTCAAAGGAGACCCCGTGGGGGGGCACATCCATAGCTACCTGCTGGAGAAGGTGGGTTGCCCAGGCCCAGGGCCCAGGGGCGGGAGCGCACCTTCCCTGACGTCCCAGGTTCCTAGGGCGGGGCTCCCTCTGTGGCCAGGCTGACCCCCCAGCTTCCTGCACCGCCCTGGGGCCCAGGGCCCTGTCCTGGGGGGCTCCCCTCCGCCCAGGCGTGCGTCCAGCTGCCCCTCTCTCCTCAGTCTCGGGTCCTCAAGCAGCACGTGGGTGAAAGGAACTTCCACGCCTTCTATCAGGTGAGCCAAGGTAGGCAGGTAGGGCAGACCAGACAGCCCCTCCGAACAGCCCGCCCACGGTCCCCTTCCCGCCCCACTGGGGTAGGTTCTCCCTGGACACAGCCTGTCTGTCTGCGCCCTGTCTGACCCGGACAGGACTCCTCCCTGGACATCGAAGCGAGTTCTCAGGGTTTGCTCCGTGTCTGCACCATGTCTGCCACTGAGTGGGTTTTTCCTGGACTCGGCTGGGCCTGGCACCATGTCTGACCACTGCAGTGGGCTCTCCCGGCTCCTGGGCTCCCGGGCAGTGTCCACGCCCCCCGGCTCCCATGGTGGGCGGGGTCGACAGGGGCCGAGGGGGCGGCCGCGCCCTGCAGATGTGTGCAGGGCCTGACCCGGGCGTGGGCCTGCCAGGTGCTGCAAGGCTGCGAGGACAGAGAGCTGCAGGAGCTGCACCTGCAGAGGAACCCTGCACTGTACAACTTCACCCGCCAGGGCGCGGGGCTCAGCGTGAGTGGGGGCTCCATGGGCGCTGGGGTACCCGGTGGCGTCCGGCGGGGGGCGGGGAGGGCCGCCGGGGGCCCTGATGCGGCAGGCGCGCAGTGCGGGACATCAGGGGCCATAGTGGAGGTGGGGGTGCAGTGTTGGCACATGCCCTTCCCCCCAGGCTTTGGACAACGACGAGAGCACCCCCCACCGGGCGGTGACGGAGGCCATGAGGGTGATCGGCTTCACTGAGGAGGAGGTGGGCTCCGTGCACCGCATCCTGGCCGCCATTCTGCACCTGGTGAGCCTGGCTCGAGGGTCTGGGACCGCTGCCTCATCCCTGGCTGCGTCCCTGCCACCCCTCCCTGTGGCCTGGGCAAAAACCTGCGGGCTCTTCGGGGACGTGGAGCCTGAATCTTCCCGGTTCCCCCATCACCAGGGAAACATCGAGTTTGTGGAGAAGGAGGAGGGGCCCCTGGCTGTGGCCGAGGAGGTGCTGGTGGACCACGTGGCCGAGCTGACAGCCACGCCCCGGGAGCTGGTGCTGCGCTGCCTCCTGGCACGCACTGTGGCCTCAGGGGGCAGGGAAGTCATTGAGAAGGGCCACACTGCAGCCGAGGCCAGCTACGCCCGGGACGCCTGTGCCAAGGTACCCTAGGGACAGGCAGTGTGGGGAGGAACCCAGGAGGCCTTCCTGGAGGAGGCAAGGCCAGCAGCCGGGCTCTCCCCAGGCAGTGTACCAGCGGCTGTTTGAGTGGGTGGTGAACCGGATCAACAGTGTCATGGAAGCCCGGGACCGGGACCCCCGGCGGGATGGCAAGGACACAGTCATTGGCGTGCTGGACATCTACGGCTTCGAGGTGTTCCCCGTCAACAGGTGGGCGGCCCAGCTCTGACCCCCAGCCTCCCAGGCCGCCTCCGTCCCGGGAGCTCGCTGCCTAGGGAGCGGGGTGTCCGGTATCTGTCCTGGCGGGCCCCAGCCCCGGGGTCATGGCCAAGCCTGCCTCAGCGTGCGCCTGTCCGGCAGTGCCCAGGAAGGCAAAGCGCTGAGCGCTCCTGCCGGAGGTGGGGGCTGGGGCGACGGAGAGGCCCAGCTTGGGGCGGGCACCCCCGGCGAGGCCAGGGGCCCCGCGGGCCAGCTTCGGGGCGCTTCGGGCCCCCGGGCGGCGGCATGACGCTGGCGTGCCCTCGCTCCAGCTTCGAGCAGTTCTGCATCAACTACTGCAACGAGAAGCTGCAGCAGCTCTTCATCCAGCTCATCCTGAAGCAGGAGCAGGAGGAGTACCAGCGGGAGGGCATCGCCTGGCAGAGCGTGAGTACCCCCTGAGCGGCGCAGGCCCTGGCGGGGAGGCGGCGGGCCCGGCGGAGGCCGGCGGGGCCGGCAGCCACCGCACGCGCTCTGCCGCAGGTGGAGTACTTCAACAACGCCACCATCGTGGACCTGGTGGAGCGGCCGCACCGGGGCATCCTGGCCGTGCTTGACGAGGCCTGCAGCACCGCGGGCCCCATCACCGACCGCATCTTCCTTCAGACCCTGGACACGCACCACCGCCACCACCCGCACTACACCAGCCGCCAGGTGCCGCCCCGCCCTCCCGCCCTCCCGCCGCCGGGCTGGCGCGCACCCCGCGTGCTCCGACAGCCCGTCCACCTTGGCCGCCGGCCGTGGAGGCCCGGCCTCCCCCGCGGGACCGCTGCCGCCCCCCGGGCCCTGATCCTGACCCTGGCCAACCCCTCCTCCCACCAGCTCTGCCCCACGGACAAGACCATGGAGTTTGGCCGCGATTTCCGCATCAAGCACTATGCCGGGGACGTCACGTAAGGCCCCCACTGAACCTCCGGCCCTCCCTGCCGCCTGCTCCCTGTCTAAGATGGCAGACACGTGTCCTTCGCCAGAGGGTTTTTAAGAGCAGTTCTCGGCCCTGGCTGCACCCGAGACTCTCCCGGGGGGCTTTCAGAAGTGCGCGTACCTGGGCCCCCACAGTGCAGCCCCGGCAGGGAGGCAGCTCTCGTTCCTCACGCCCGGCCCCGGCCCCACAGGTACTCCGTCCAGGGCTTCATCGACAAGAACAGAGACACCCTCTTCCAGGACTTCAAGCGGCTGCTGTACAACAGGTGAGCCGCCTGGGGCGTGGGCGGGCAGGCCACACGCGGGGTCTGGATCCTGCCTGACGGCCGGACGGCTGTGAATGGCCGAGCCAGTGGGGCTGCCTCCCAAGGGCAGCTGAGCACGGTGCCTACGTCCACAGCGCGGACCCCACCCTGCGGGCCATGTGGCCGGACGGGCAGCAGGACATCACAGAAGTGACCAAGCGCCCCCTCACGGCCGGCACGCTCTTCAAGAACTCCATGGTGGCCCTGGTAGAAAACCTGGCCTCCAAGGTACCAGCCAGGCCCCGACCCCACCCTGGCCCCTGGCCCCTGGCCCGTCCTTTGTGCCTGGGTGTCAGGTGGGCCGCCAACGGCCTCCGCGGGGCGTTGGGAGGGGCTGTTTCTTCCATGTCTGCTGCGAGCCCCTGCCGGCAGCGGGGGGCGCGGGCGGGAGCCGGGGGCGGGGGTGGGGGGGCGTGCACGCTCCAGTCAAGATGCCAGGGGGCCAGGCCGCCACACGGGCCTCCGAGCGTCCTCTGCCCTCTGCCGCCCAGGAACCCTTCTATGTGCGCTGCATCAAGCCCAACGAGGACAAGGCGGCTGCGCGGCTGGACGAGGGCCACTGCCGCCACCAGGTCGCGTACCTGGGGCTGCTGGAGAACGTGAGGGTCCGCAGGGCCGGCTTCGCCTCCCGCCAGCCCTACCCTCGGTTCCTGCTCAGGTACGGCCGCCCCCTCCCGTCCCTGTGGGCCGTGTAGGGGGCGAGCGCAGGGGGCAAGGGGCAGGCAGGGGCTCCCGGGAGCAGCTCCTCAGACCCGACGCACAGGGGCGCTAACGTCGCAAGGACCCTCGGGACACGGGGGTGGGACAGGGCCCGGCCGGCGCACTTTGTCCGGCGCACTTTGTCGGCGTGTGGGCAGGGCTACGGGGTCGGCCGCGCGCCGGGGAGGACGCGGAGGGGCCGGCCGCCCCTCCCCAGGGCCTGGTGCCCACTGCCCTGTGCTGTGGCGACAGGTACAAGATGACCTGCGAATATACGTGGCCCAACCACCTGCTGGGCTCGGACCGCGCAGCCGTGAGCGCCCTCGTGGAGCAGCACGGGCTGCAGGAGGACGTGGCCTTTGGCCACAGCAAGATCTTCATCCGCTCGCCGCAGACGCTGGTGGCGCTGGAGCAGAGCCGCGCGCGCCTCATCCCGATCATCGTGCTGCTGCTGCAGAAGGTGCGGCTGAGGCTGCGGGGCGTTGCCGGGGGAGGGGGGGCCGAGGAGCAGGCTACGCCCTTCCACGTGGTGCAGGCTCCCAGCTCGCTCCCAGGAGACAGCCCTCGACTTAAGCAAAAAGTGTGGATCTGGCCCAAGTCGCCACAGCCCTGCGGCCGCCAGCTCCAGGTGGACTCAGGTGCTCACATCAAGGTTTTCTGGAGCCTCCCTCCCTCCGTTTTTTCCTCCTCCTATTTATTCTGGACGGTTTCAGCCCTAGAGGAGAGTGTGCCGAGCCGTGAGCTCGATTCCCACACTCCCGCCCAGTGCCCTCCGCGTCACTGCGTCACCGCGTCACCGCATCGCCGTGCGCTTGCTCAGACGCCTGCCCTTCCGCCCCGTGATGTTGGAACAAATCATTTCACTTATAATCATTGGGGCGATGGTTTTTTCCCACCGCTCCCCACAGCCTTGTAGGGAGGGGAGAAGGGAGGGAGGGAAACACCCATGTGCGGAGGCCTCTCACGCGCCCCCTGCTGGGGAGCCGGCCCACAGCCCAGGCCTGGGCCCCGACTGGGCATTGAACCGGCGACCCTTTGGTTTGCAGGCCGGCGCTCAGTCCGCTGAGCCGCCCCAGCCGGGCTGTTTGTAACATTCCAAACGGGCGGAAAAGCAGAAAGACTTGCGCTCTGATGGCTGCTCACTTAGATTGTTAGGTCCCGTGCGCCCCGCCCTGTCGCTGTCTCCCTGTCCCTCTGCCTCTCTCCTCACACCCACATACAGACACCCAGAGGGGTCCAGGTCTGAACTTCTCCTGAACCATGTAACATAGCGCCACCCCTAAACACGTCCGCAGGGATGGGCTAAGCACAAAGACACTCGCCTTGACGGCCCCGCCGACACCCCAGAACCCTAACGCTGACCGCGCGGAGCCTGTGTGTTTCGGTGGCCAGCGTGCGGCCTTATCTAAACGTCCCCCACTGTCCCACGCCTGCCCGCCACGCCTTGCAGAAACACAGGGTCCCGTCGGCAGGGACGCCGGCGCACCGCTGCCGCCTCTGGCAAGAGGCGCTGTCTTTAAGGCTGCGACCCAGCGCTGCTACCGGACACACGGGGGCTCGAAGGCTCGCACTGCCCTGTTGCTGGCACGCACCTGCCTGTCAGCGTCCCGGGCACTGTCCTGGGCGGGGTCTGGACAGCCACAGCCCCTGACTTAATCGGGGGTCCGCTGGGCTGCCTGCCTGCCTGCCTGCCTGCCTGGGGGGCCTGCGGTCTGGGCTCTGACGGCTGCGTCTCGGGGCGCCCCTCCATCTAGATTCTCCTGGGAGTGGGAGGTGAGGACCGGACCAGGTCAGGTTCCGGGTGGACAGTTGGCAGCTGCCCCCGTAGGTGGGGAATGGGCTGCGCTGCCCCCATCCCCTTGTCACATGCTTTTCTCCTGGGACACCTGGGAGTCCCCAGCTGGGGGCGGTCTCAGCCTGAAGGCCTGGGTCAGGGGAGCAGCCCTTTGGATGTGGCTCACGGGAGGCGGGGGCGGGGGCGCCCCGCTGGCCTGCACAGGCGGCGGAGGGCGCAGAGGGCTTCCCTGAGAGCAGGGTGTCCCCCAGACAGACCTGGGCGGGGTTGCGGTGAGGAGGCGGGCCTGGCAGGGCCTGACCCGTCCACCCGGACCCCACCCCAGGCCTGGCGGGGCACGCTGGCACGCTGGCACTGTCGGCGACTGCGGGCCGTCTACACCATCATGCGCTGGTTCCGGAAGCACAAGGTGCGCGCCCACCTGGCGGAGCTGTACCGGCAGTTCCAGGCGGCGCGGCAGCCGCCGCTCTACGGCCGGGACCTCGTCTGGCCACCGCCCCCGGCCGTGCTGCAGCCTTTCCAGGACGCCTGCCGCGTGCTCTTCTGCAGGTGCCGCCCTCGCTGCCCCTCGCTTTCCCCAGCTCAGCTAGTGCCCGCTGCACACCTGGCCTTGGCCACACAGTCGCCGGGACCCCGCGCTCGGGGGGTGGGGAGATGATGACGTCCGGGAAGCAGGGGGAACCCAGGCTGCCCGCTCCCGCCAGCGGCATCAGAGCCGTGCTGTCCCACACCATGCGGGACACTCGAGGGGACAGGGGCCTCGGGCTCCTCACGCGGGGCCCGCAGGGAAGGGCGGCGGGCGCTCCAGGAGCAAGCGGGGCAGGAGGTCTCCGGGAGCCGGGGCTCAGAGCAGGAGGGGCGGCTGGGAAGCAGAGGGCGGCCAGTGTTGGGCTGAGGGGCTTGGCCTTCTCCTGCGGGGGTGGGGGGGCATGAGAGGCAGGGCCAGGGCTGGGGGAGGGGAGGGAGGCCCGGGGGCCCATCTGAGCAGCCGTCCCTCCCCAGGTGGCGGGCCCGGCAGCTGGTGAAGAACATCCCCCCGTCAGACATGGCCCAGATCAAGGCCAAGGTGGCCGCCATGGGGGCCCTGCAGGAGCTCCGGCCGGACTGGGGCTGCCGGCGGGCCTGGCTGCAAGACTACTTGTCATCCGTGAGTGTCAGGGCGGAGGGCCCCGCCGAGGCCTTGCTCTGTCCCGTCCCTGGGTCTGCCCCTCGGTCCCTCTGCCCCTGAGGTTTAAGGCTTTTCACCCAGAACCAGCCGGCTGGGCTCCACTGAGCACGCCTCCATTCCTAGGCCAGCCCCCCTATTCTCAGGAACATCCCCCCTTCTCAGGCATCGTCCAGCCCCCCGTCCTCAGGCACAGCCCCCCACCCCCAGCCAACACCCCGGCTGAGGCTCCCGGTCCCGTGGGCAGGTGCCGTCAGCACGGCCTGGCTGGATCTGCAAGAGAAGAGGGCTCAGGGGCCAGGGTTTCCCCGGGGGGCGTCTGCAGGGAGGGGCCGGTCCGCGCGGGCCGCTGCCTTCTCGGCGCCCGTCCAGGCCTGGCCTGAGGCGGGGCTCGCGTGGCGGGAGGGCGGGCGCCGCGGAGGCGGTGCGCGCGGCCCGGTCCCAAGCTGTGGGGCGGCCGTGCCACCCGCCCGGCGCCGCCGTCGGTCGGGCACGGCCCCAGGACCCCGTGCCAAGCGGCCCCCATCTGTGCTCAGGCCGCCGACAACCCCACCGCCTCCAGCCTGTTCGCTCAGTGCCTGAAGACGCTACGGGACAAGGATGGCTTCGCGTGTGTCCTCTTCTCCAGCCACGTCCGCAAGGTGAGCAGGGGCGAGGGCCCCGGCCCAGGACCCCCGAGGGGCCTCGCAGCGGCTCCTGGCACGTGGGAAAGGGCCAGCTCCAGCCCGGGCAGGGAGGGCACAGGGCGGGGCTGGGAGGGGGCGGGGTGGCGAGTGACCCCGGGCGTGGCCCCGCAGGTGAACCGCTTCAACAAGCGCCGGGACCGCGCGCTCCTGCTCACTGACAGGCACCTGTACAAGCTGGACCCCGGCCGGCAGTACCGGGTGATGCGGGCCGTGCCCCTGGACGCGGTGAGCCGTGGGGCGGGGCGGGGCGTCCGTGGGCCCCTCCTCTCCCACCTGCTGGAGCTTCTAGAACAGTCTCAGCTCAGGATGCCCCACTCAACAGCCTGTATGTCTTCCTGTGGGCGTAGCCCCCTCCATCCCCCCACCCTCTACTCTCTGGCCCGCACACCCCGCCCCACACCTGTGCCTGGCTGGCGGTCACCCACCAGGGCTTTGTGGACCCCGCTCATCACCTGGGTCTGTGGCTCACGGGACCCTGGAACCCCGCCCCTGTTCCCACAGGGCAAGGGTTGGCCCCGGGCAGATCCAGGCCAGGGGCTCTGTGACTGTCCAGGGGCGGGGGCACCGGGTCCAGAGCCACAGCCAGTGTGGCTACTTAGAAGGAATGGAAAGGCCAGAGCGCTGAAAGGTCAGCCCCTTAGCACCACCAGCTCGGCCAGGGACTCGAGAGCCACTGGGCAGGAGGCGGGCCCTGGGGAGGCCGGTTGCGGGGCAGCCGGGGGGCCCCAGAGGCCGGGCCCTGGGGGTGCAGGGTCGGGAGGAGGGCCTGCCGCTCCCTGACCCTGACTGCCCCCAGGTGACCGGGCTGAGCGTGACCAGCGGGCGGGACCAGCTGGTGGTGCTGCACGCGAAGGGCCAGGATGACCTGGTGGTGTGTCTGCACCACTCGAGGCCGCCGCTGGACAACCGCGTGGGGGAGCTGGTGGGCGTGCTGGCCGCACACTGCCAGGGGTGAGCAGGGCAGGTGGGGGCGGGCGGGGGCGGGCCGGCCCCACTGCCCAGCTGCCCCCCGCCCGTGTCCCCGCGGGCCCACCTGCCGGTCCGGAGCTGACCTCTCTCCTGTCCACTTCAGGGAGGGTCGCCCCCTGCAGGTCCACGTGTCCGACTGCATCCCCCTGACCCAGCGTGGCACCCGGCGCCTGGTGTCTGTGGAGCCCACGCCGGGGCAGCCCCAGCCCGACTTCCGCTGCAGCCGTGGAGCCTTCACCCTCCTGTGGCCGAGCAGCTGAGCCCACCTGTGCTCTGATCCGGGTGCAGCGAGGCCTCTGGCCTCACAGAAGGGACAGCTTCTCCGCCCACATCCGCCCCTTGAGAATCCCCCCCAACGCTGAGCAAGAAAGGATGCTGGGCCCACCCTGGCCGGTGTGGCTCAGGGGACGGAGCGCCAGCCTGCGAACCAAAGGGCCGCCGGTGCGATTCCCAGTCAGAGCGCAGGCCTGGGCTGTGAGCCAGGTCCCCAGCAGGGGGTGCTCAAGACAACCACACACGGATGTTTCTCTCCTCTTTCTCCCTTCCCCTCTAAAAATAAATAAATATTAAATTAAAAAAAGACGCTGTGCCTGCTGTGTAGGCTTGCGTACGGATGATGGTCCCTGCCTGCTTGGCGATGTCGCCCGAGTCTTCTGCTGACTCTGTGGGGTCACACGAACCAGAGGAGGCGGCCTGGGGACCCCGTCTGGTGGGGCCTCAGCCCAGGAACCCCTGGACGTGGAGCCAGGGGTCTGAGAGGAAACCTTGCCTTTCCTGCCCCCGGCTGTCTGCCCCGCTGCCCCGGCCGGGGGTTTCAGACTGGCCCTTTCCCTCTCCCTCCTGGACGGCTCCTGGCCTTGTTCCTCCTGGGTCCCGGGGAAGCCGGCAGTCCCAGCACCCACCGGGGGCATGGAGCAGGCCCCGCCAGCCTCCTGGGGTGCACGCTGCCCCAGGCCCGGGGAGCCCCACCACTGAGGGGAGCAGCCAGGGCCTCCCAGAGCCCGGGAGCCCGGCCTGCATCTGGGACTGCCCGGGAGTGGGCAACGGCAGGCCAGAGTGGGCAGCCCCCTGGCAGCAGGGCCCTCCCAGCCCCGGGCCCTCACCTCCCCCTCTGTTCTCACAGCTGGGGTGCCCCACGTGGGGGCGTCCTCACTTGGCTGTGCCCGGTGGCGGGGGGGTGTCTGCGTCTGTCGGCTGCGGCCTTGTGCTGTGTCGCTGAAGGGCTCGGGCCTCCCTGAGCTTCCCCTCGTCGCTGTCCGGGGCACCGGGGGTGGCCTCCTGCCCTGGGAATGCTTCCTGTCCCTGAGCCAGCCTGGGGGTCCCGACTAGGGGGCTGCAGCCCCTCTCCCGCCTCCCCTGCAGGGCAATCCAACGTGGCCCTGAGCCGCCCCAGACACAGGTGGTCTCGGCCTTCGGCGGCCCCGCAGGCTGCCAGGGGCGGGGCTCATCCGAGAGCCGGCGGCACCACCTGCCGCTTCAGGAGGCCCCGCTGCCCCGGCGGAGACCGGGGCTCAGCGAGGGTCGGGAACGTCGCAGCGCCTGGAGGGGGCGCCGCTCGCACCCCGGGCAGCCTCTGGGGGTCCAGCGCCGCCGGGGGCCCCCCGCTGCGCGTCCAGCCTCCAGAGAGAAAGGGGGGTTTTCACAGGTGGCTCCCAGGACGTGGGGAGCCTGAGATCCAGCCTGGGGTGGGTGGCAGGCCAGGGAGAGGGAGGTGACAGAGCCCCGTCAGGCCGCTCGCTCCAGCCTCGCGTCGGGCAGTGTCCGAACGCTCCGTGTTCACGTGCCGTATGGGGCCCCTCACCTGTGCCACCGCCGACGACTACGGGCCACTGTTCCAGGCGCTTTGCAGACCTCGCCCTACCCCACACCTACCAGGTCGGCCCCCTCCATCCTCCCGCTGGGACAGGTCGGGAAGGGGGAGGGGCAGAGACCGGCCGGGGGCCGCCCGGGCGGGGGGGCAGGTGCAGGGACGCCGCCCCGTGTCGCGCCTGCACCACGCACGGGGCCAGGCAGCAGCGGGCCAGCGACACGGGCGGACATGGCGGGGCCGTGCCTGGCAGTCCTCACAAAGCCCACGTCGGAGGCCACTGGTGGCGCGTCTGCCACACCCACGTCCCGGGGCGGCCCGGGGCGGCCTCTGTGCCCCTGGGGACGCGGGGCTGCGGCGTGGGCGCCCCCTTCTTGCTGCCATTCTGCCCCCGCCCCCGCCGGCCCAAGTCCCCCTGCGGACGGCTAGTCTGGCTCCCCCTAGTGCAGGGGACAAGCGTGCTGACACCCCTCCCAACAGAGCGGCCTGGGGGACGGACGCCGTCCCCCCAACTCTGCTCTCTCAGGGCCCCCCGGGACAGCGGTTACAAGCCTCCAGTCCACAGCGGTTTCCGGAACGTGGGGCAAGCCTGGGCCCGCCCCACGGCACCCACACAGCGGGCCGTGCCGACCGCGCCTCAGACATAATTTTATAGCAAGATCACCAAGTTCTCTTGGCTCTGCAGGACCTGAGCCAGGCACTTATTTTTTACAGTGGATTTAGCTTTAATTGCAGTGACAGTTACCTGCCAAGAGGTGACGCTCATAAAACTGTCACACTGAAGGACTCACTGCGGTGACACGTCAGCCAGCAACACCTAACGGAGCCGGGGCTCCCAGGGGTCGCTCTCGGGGCCGGGACTCCCAGCTGAGGAATGGGCAGGCCCACGCCGCCCTTGCCAGCAAGGAGCTGAGCTGAGACCAGAGGCGCCTGCTTTTCCTCGGGATTCCCCACGGGGCCTGGAATCATAGGGGGGCCGCAGTGGCCGATGGCGGGGACAGTGGAGGCTGCAAAGTCCCCACATGCAAGGGCACAACTGGAGGGGCAGAGGGACCCCCCGACTTACAGGAACACCTTCCATGGAAGCACGTCCCCTGGTGTCTATCCCTGTGGGCCATCGGGGGCCTTGGACAAGTGTGTCACCGAGTGTCCTGACCTCATGGAGGTACCAAGTGCCACCATTCATCTGGAGGCATCTGCCCCACCCCCGCACCCACCGGTGTGACCTTTTCCCACTGACATCACCGGGGCCCGGTCCACAGCGTCAGGTGCCCCACGAGGTGCAGGGACCGGCCACCAGGGGGCGGGCGGGACGCTGCCGACGGCCTCTGGCTGCCGGTTGCCCCACGTGCTCCGGCCAGCCGCTGGGCCGGGCGGGTGGTCTGGTGTAAACATCTCCGGTGGCATCTGGAGGTGGTCTGCGCCCCGACCCCCTCTGAAGGTCGTGGATCTTTCCAGAACACTCAGTGAACATTCACGACCTACGGAAGGCACAGCCGGGACGAGGGAAACCCGAGCGGCCCCCTTCCCTCCCCACCGGCCCCCAGCCCCGGCCGGAGGGTTTGTCCTTCAGCGTGGGCTCGCCCCACGGCCGACTGAGACATCGTTTCGGACGCCTCTGAAGCTCTGTCACTCACCTCTTGTGACCTTCACAGCTAACCTTCAAGGTTCGCTCTCATTTCTCAACGGAGGGAGACGGGGCTCAGGCGCCCCGAGGCCCCGAGGAGACAGGAAGGGAGATGAATGCCCCCGAGACCACCCGCAGCCCCGACCACCCAGCTCAGTCCCTGTCCCCACACTGGCTGCTCCCAGTGGCTCTGCCGCCGGGTGTGGCGCCACTGAAAGACAGCGCAGAGCCCCTGGAACCCTCGGAGTGGCCCGAGGGGTGGGGGCCCCGGGAGTTATGGACGGGGACCCGACCGACCGAGCGCACCGGTGCTTCTGCTGATGCGGTGACTGGGGGCCTGGCCGGAGGGACCAGCCCCATCCCGGCCCCCGGCCGCCGGGAAAGGGGCTGCAGGGCTGGGGTTCGCGTGTGGCCGGCCATCTCGCCAGCCGTGCCTGCGTGATGAGACGTCCACAGACACCGGACAGAGATGTGCGGGGGGCCTGCCGGCGAACTTGGGGGTGGGCCGCGGAGGGGGTGCGCCCGCCCTACCACCCCACGCGGACAGAGGCCCCAACCTACCTCGCCCTGAGTCCCTGTCCCTCTGGCTGGTCACTTGCTGCCTTTACAACTGTCCGTGCCGTGCTGGCCGAGGTCTGTGAGTGGCTCTCGTGAGTGTGAAAGGGGGCGTGGGAGCCCCCGAATTTACGGCTGGCAGCGCAGCGGTGTGGATGGCATCTGCCTTGTCCTCTGTGAAGGGTTTCTTGTTGGGATTTGCAGAGCAGACATTTTGGGAAACATTTATGGAAATTTTAAATCAGAGGACAAATCGCTCACAGCTCTTCACCCCTGAACTGAATGAAATGCAATTGTCCACTTTCTGAGCTGCTTCGCGACCCGTCGCGCGTGTTGGGGGTCTGACGGCCGCCGCGGGGGCCCCGCCGAGCCGAGCGCGGCTCTGCCCTCACCTGGGCCGTTTCAAGTCCCCCTTTTATTGCTCTCTAAGCAGCGGCCCCCGCTGGGTCTGGCCCACCTGCGCCCCTTGTGGAAGTGTTTCAGTCGGGCCTGGGCTGAGCAGAGAGCGCCGGGGGTCAGTGGCACAGGCCGGCGCCTGCGGCCCAGCCCGACCCTGGGCCAGAGACTGCCACCTCCCCACCATGGAAGCTGGCCCTGGCCCCTTGTCCTCTGTCCCTAAGCAACACTTGGCTTTGTGACCGTGCACCCTAAAGGCTCCCTGGCTCCTAACTGCCCCAAGTCACTCCTTCCGCAAACACCTAGTAACAGCTGCTCCACACCGAACACTGCGCTTGTGGCCGGAGGTCAGTGGTGTGGGGGGACCGAGGCCGGCGTGGTATGTAAACCCAGCCCTGGCAGCTCCAGGACAGGGTGGGGGCTGCACACTGAGAGGGGCCTCCGGTGAGCGACGAGCTGTCGGGGCTCGGTCCTGGCGGGGCTCCTCTTGGGGCGTCTCTGGTCCAAGACGGCTCCCCCGCCGGGCAAGGTCCCGGGGCGTGGGGGCAGCGGGAAGGCCAACAGCTCCTCCGCGGCAGCAGGCAGCGTCCCGGAGGCCCCATCCGCAGCCTGCACGTCCCGGCTGCCCAGCCGCGCTTTCCCCAGGCAGCCGGCTGAAGGCTTCCTGAGCACAGCTCGTGCCCTCCCCGCTAAGGGGGCCCGTGGGAGGGTCTCGCCCAGGACGGGCCTTCCCGGGTGCAGGAAGGGGCAGCGGCGCTGTGTGGGGGTTTGGGGGTGGCCGGCTGGCCGGAGCCAAGGTGAGTTGAGACATGTAGGCAGGGAGTCCGCGCCCCCCGCATCCCGTGAAGAGCCCCAGGCCCCGGGAGGCAGCCCAGGGGGCTCGGCCGACAGCGCAGGCCCGGCCCCGGGGTGTGGGCCCAGGCCTGCCCGAGCCCCAGGGCCACAGCCGGCTGTGGGCTGCACTGCGCCCCCCGAGTTCACACATTGAAGCTCCGGCCCCAGGACCACAGGATGTGACGGCGTTTGCGGACAGAGCCTCCAGGGGGTGACGGAGGGAAAGCGCGCGCGCGAGGGCAGCCCTGGCCCAGCACCACTGGGGTGCGACTGAGAAGAGATGAGGCCACGGGCCCGGCCGGGCGAGGGCAGGGCGGGGGCCGTCCGGCCCCCAGGGCTGGGGAGAGCGACGCGTCCGGTT